CTGGGCTCTGCCTTAGCGGTGGCACGTGTGGCTGGTGAGCCTGGTCCCAGAGGAAGCCAGAAAGCCAGCCTTCCGACAACAGCTGGCTGGCCGAGAGGAAAAGGGTGAGCGGTTTGCCTTTCTTCTGCTCTGCCCTCATTTTGTCTCAGGCATGTCCCCCGCCTGTTCTCCATGAGGCAAGCGGTGCCCAGACGGGTGCCCACAATAAGGAGATTAGAGAGGACTTGGGGTTAGAGCTCACCCCGAAGCAATTGATTAATGTTCACAGTGGGATCGATGATGTAACCTCAGACATAAACGCAAAGCCCCAAGGTGGGGAGGAAGTCGTTGTACGGATCTGCAGGGCACACCCACATGGAAGCAGGAGTCGAAGCTCACCCACGGGCTGCCATTCCCTAATCTGCCGCCAAAGGCTGCTTGAAAGCAAAGCGGAACAACTGACACAAAGGCAAAGCTTGTTGCCAGGACTAACGCAAGCCTGCCCGACCCACACCACGGTATTCCTGGCCAGTTCATGCGCGTGGGGAAGCTGGGCGAGGAACAAGGGGGGCTGGGAAGAACTGGGCTGGCTGATGGCGGTGTTGGCGAGGCGTTGCATCCCATGGGGCCCTTGAAGAAGGAACACTGTGCAGCACCATCGTGGCTCGGAAACGGGATGATGGTGAGACTTCATGGAAGCGTTACCAGGGAGGGCCGGGCACGGTCACCCTCCCTCCATCATCTCCCTTCCTGCTTCCAGGCCTGGGTGTTCCTGCTCAGAGCCTCCTCAGGAGGTCCTTGTAATGGGCAAGACCCAAGGGTCCGCCCCTCCCGGTACTGAAGCCCCAGTCTGTTGTAGCTCCCAAGGGGGTGTACTGGTGGGAACCAGAGGCTCCACAGCTCTTGAGACTGACACCTCCTCTCCTCCTCCCTCGCCCTCCAGTTGATGATCTTTAATGTTGGGGCCACTGTTCTCTACGTCACGGCCTTCATCGCCTGCTCGGCTGCCGTCGAGCTAACATCCCTGAAAGGCACTCGGCCGTATAACCAGCGTGCAGCTGCCTCCGTGAGTCTGCCCACGCCCC